GTTATTTAATACTGTGTTTCGTAAGACAACTTTCTCTATTACCACTGAATACATAAATAGGTATCTATCTCTAAGAGTCAGTTAGGATCGGCTCTCTTTCCCATTGTCTGGCCTTTCTCTCATTGTAGAGTGCAACGTGCAAATGCTGTCCAAACGTCGTGTGGACAAATCGTCTTTTTAATCCCGACTTCAAGCTAGATACAAGCTGATTCAACGTATATCGTTACAGTATCGCTCCTGTCAGAGACGTTTAAAAAATTGGCGCGCAGAAGAAAACTCATCGTGTTAAAGTTGTTGTTTTCCCCATGCGCGGCATACTCGTATGCCCCCTAGCGGCTGCACACGTCAGCAAAAATATCGTGAGAAACAGGCGAAACAATCAATCTGCAATACCGTACAGTATCTTAGGTGTTGATAGCTATTTCGCTAGCGGATGTCGTTCGACACGGAATCGCTAAGGGTTTATGGGTGGCGTAATCATAGAAATGCATCGATCTTCATTTGCACCTACCTTTCGGTCTCCAATATCTTTTTTTTTTTTTTTTTTTTTTTTTTTTCGAAAAATAAATTGAACGCGGCTTCAAAAAAATTGAAGCTGAATAGATAGTGACGTCGTTAGGACGAAAGCAATTTTACGAGTTCTGCTCGTCGAGCTCACAAGTGATGCGAAATGATGGTTGCGGTCTTGGTGACGCGAGCGTCGCCCTGCAAACAAAATAATAATGATGATGGTCGAAAGGCAATGGTTGGAAGCATATAATATACGATAGACAAAAACCTTATATATCTTGTTATAATAGAATAGATGGGCTTCAAAGTTTCCTTGTAGTAGTTGTAGCTTTAACTGTTTAGCTCCAATTAACTCCGATTCTAAACGAACCGTCTTTGCCGAACGGACAACGAATTTGTAATTTCAGTCTTTTCATTTCGCTAATGTTCGTAATACTACATTATCTAAGCTTCCTGCGGTAGGCGACTTTTTTTTTAATACAATGAACCTCAGTAATATATATATATCTAGATTTGTCGCGAAGTAGGATAGTCGTTTCGTCACTGGCAATCCTTCTTAGCGCTATGGCGCCGTATCAGTGGGTCGTATACAACTGCATAGGTAGCAAAGTAATAAGTGCAGCAGCAGGCGAAACATTAGATCCGTTAGAAAACCATCGACACTACCTCATTATCAATGTTGCCCTCCTGGGAGCTTCTTGGACATGCAGAACCCCTAAGCTTTCTTAGTAAATATTTCTTCTGGATATCCAGAGCCAGCATAGATTGGATGCTTCGCTGCTTTCCTTTATTTCTCTATCGTGTCTCTTTATTTAAACGTCGTGGACGTTGTGGACGCTGATTCTTCAGCATCTGCAGAATCAGCGGAGTCAGAGTCCCTTGTCCCTTTCCAATTTATCCATACGGGTCGTGCTGCTACAGGGCGACATTACTTTTTTGGGGATGGCGGCAGTAGCAGAAACAGCCAGGTTGCGAGGTGCATAGCCCCTTCAATGTATCGAGGAGTGCGAACTGTAATAGGTCACTGAGAATTGTCACTTGCAAGGATGGTTCTATTTAACCTGCCGGTTAACGGTGCCGGAAAACCCATGACAAATCCGGCTCATAAAATTACCGCGTCCACATAACCTAAAAGCTTCTACGAGGGTAGAAATGCATCCGAGGTTATACAGTCAGTAGTGTCAGAACTTAGCATCCCGTCTACACTTTTTAACTTTCATAAGCAGAACGTGACAGTAATGAATGAATGCGGTGCCTTCGAAGAAGAGATGAAGGTGATTTCCAAGAAAATATCTGTTGTCATATGGAGGATGTAAAAAACCGACGTAAAAAGTCCTTTACATTTTTTTCCACGATGAGGTTTCTTTTTCTGTACCCCTTATCTACTTACTACTAGAATTTCTATTTGAGGCCAGTTCGGGCTTTTCCGGATCTGCAGAACTTTTCCAAGTTTTGTTTCCTGCTTTTCAGATAAACTTTTCCATAAACCTTTATGTAATGATGACCTAAAAGATAGCCCATAGGAGCAAATACAATCATCAGGTTTTTGTAGGAAGGTTCTAATAACAATTAGACTTTACCTATTTCATATATGTATAAACGAAGTACGTTTATAACGTCTGTGAGCATTTTTCCACGTTACTTCCACTTGCTTTCCGTATTGTCACGAGAGTCGGAGAAACAGTTAATTGTGGGACCGGCAACTGTATCCTACATGTCACCTTTGATCGTATGCTGCTCAGCGACAAACTGCTACATGCCAAGCGATTACACTATTCCTTTAAAGAACGTGCGATTCCAGATGGCTCCCAACAAATGGTCCTTCAACTTATCGCAAGCACCGCCTTTTCTCCTAATGCATGTATATCCAAAAGGGCATACGACAACCCAATTCAAAATGGTTTCCACCTTGCAGGAGCCTCTCTGGGACAGAATTCTTCGTGAATACGTTCTATGAGTATGTTCTAATAGCAGTTAGTAGCAGATCATTCAGAATTAGTTTTAACCATAAATCAACCATTTTTTTTAAATTTTCACGATCTCGTTCGCTGTTTGGTAAACGGAAACCCAACTACACCATAAAAACAACTCAACCTTTGCGGAATTTTTTCAATTATTTAAATTCTATTTAAAAGTAAAGTAACGATTTTTTAGTTATTGATTCAAACTGTCATGTTAAACAATCAGAACTTCTACTATTCCATATACATTTTTTTGTCTTTTTTAATCTGATCGCTCTTCTTCTGAAACTGTCCTCGGATCACCATGAACTTTAGCTTAAGGCTTAGTTAGGACAAACCTAAGACACATCCTTTGCAGAAAGCCAAGATAATATAATATTTTAACAAGGGGCATAAAACGATGGCGTACCAGACCAAAAAATGATCCGGAAAAACTTGCTCTTTCTATATTTAAGCCCCTTTGGACTACATGCCATTTTAAAAAATTAGTCCAAATAACAAGCGGGAACAGTGTGTAAGCAGGACGATTCAGTGAAAGATCCGGATATAGGTGTTTTTGCTTACGCTAGCATTTTTGGTCTGCTATAGAATTTACATGCGGGAGAGTCTTCGTTTGAGCGGGTATTAATTTGATCGTAAGTGCTCTCGAGCAGTATTAACCCGGGTGATCTTCATGTCAGCTTACACAAAGGTACGCCTATGCACGTGCTACTGTTTATGAGACGTCCTTCATGCTTTACAAAGCTGATGGCGCATAATCGCCTAAATTATTCGAGCATTGTAATGTTACGCTAGCATTTTCTTGAAACACCGGCCGCAACATTACTACCAGCCAATTCGCAATTTATTTACACGCATATATATACCTATATATTGCATTACATTTGGCCTTAAAATTAACTGGGTTTATTTAGATTTTTTCAAAATCTTTGACAAACTGGACTATAAATTAGAGTTCAAATATCTAAAAATGGACAATCAATTATATTATAAATTATCTCGCTCAATAAAGATTTCTACATTCGTAGAAAGGCGTAGAACTAGAGGGCTTCAATATCACTTACAGGGCTCTATAGAAAGTTTTGCCAAGTTTCTCCAAACTAGAGGCTTAGTAGGTTTAGTACATGCCGTTGAGAGGATAAATAAACGTAGTGAGATACGAAAAAAGTAGTTGATCACATTGACGAGATACCGGGCCTTGTAAAATGTATGGGTGCATATTTATAAAAACCTACTTTCAGAATATATCTCAATGTCCTTATCGATAGTAAGACTAATCTTCAACCCTCCTACGTATTCGTAGCAATGCTTCTGTGTCATATGTACGCCATTTTGACGTTAGCGTTGCAAAGACGCCCAATCGCGCTGCCCAAAAAGGTTAGCGTCAATGCGTAACAGCAGATATATATCAGGATGCATCACACTTACACAGCATGTGAAAGGCAGGCTCGAGCGTCGTCGTTAAGCTGGCTTGTGCATTATATACGAATAACGCTTTCTTGCGCTTCTGCAATGCCACGACCTACTCGTAAGAATACGAAATGACGCCGTGGGGCGTCTAAGTACTCCCTGAACAGACGCCAGACGTCCCCTTGACGACATTCTAAAAGAAGTCTCGTTATCGTTGTTACTTTCTCCTATCGTTTGGTAGTGGTAATAGTATCCTGGCGTTTAAAGCTAAGGTGCTGCCCGAACCCTAAAGTGAGAAAGCTCAACGTATACTTCGAGACGCGCTGTATATGAGCATGAGCAAAAGGTCATGGACGAAGAGCCAGGGCAGATCCAGATGAATGTGAGGCTGGCTTTTAGGTTGCGATCGTGAGATAAGTAGCAAGTCGAGTTTTGACTGAAACACCACAGAAGGCGGAGAAAAAAGGCTTCTGTTTGCAGAGCGATTCACGGCGTGTCCACGTCTACCTGTATGGCCGAACGCGTTCGGCGCACGCTCTCCGAAAAGAGAGACTTCACTTGAAGGCGTGTGCCGGCAAGAGACAATCACGCGCAGAATGGAAGTTGCAAAATGCCTGCAGCTTGATGCTGTTCTCAAGGGTACAATATGTAATGCTTGTTGTTCGTATATTTGAATGAATAGACAAAAATAAAGTCAGGTAAAATATAAAACGCTATCTATAGTGGCGTTGGATTCGTTTAAAAATAGCTGCTAATTCGTTCGGTCTCTGCGCTTGGACAAATGGAAAAGGTTGTGCCCCTTTTAACGTAAAAACCTATTCGCATATCTTAACTTCGAGGTAACCTTATTGAGTTCAGGCCAGCATGTTTTTGCGTCCTTCGTGTAGACGAAAAGGGGCTAGTTATTTTTGTTTTTCCTGATAGTGGACAGATATTAGTACAAAAGAAATTATTTAAAATCTCAGGCATCGGAGCAACCTAGTATATTTGCCATATCGACATAAAAACAAGGCTATTGACTGGATACTGTATGCAAGCATCTATAGGGATTGGTTGAATAAGCTAAAACGTTATATTTCAATCAAAAAAATCTCTTAGTCTTAATTCGCTGCTGCTTACCTTGTCCAGTAAAAGGTCAGAGCTGATACTGGGGCCTGAACTTGAGACGCTCGGATCGTAAGAAGGCCGTTGAACCGAGGACGCGTCAGCATAATCCTGAGCATCTTGCTCATTTTCACTATTGGTCAAAACCGTATTGCCGGATGAGTGAGGGTCTTCTATGGGCACAATGCAATGGAGACCCTGCTGGTGTTTGATGGAGGCAGACGCCACTGTCTTCCCGCGACTCCTCTGTTCTTGAATCGATGGTGGTGGACTAATGCATTGGCATTGACGCTGTTTCGATGTTTGCCTCAGCAAATTCTTTTCGTTAGCATTAATATTAAGATTTTTCAGAAGATCCATAATAAGCACGTCGTCTATGTCATGTCTAATATCGACTGGCCTATTTCGATCGTCATTGCTTGTCAACGCCGACAATAGCGGCTGCTGATCAGAAGCACCTCTTTCGGTGTATAAAGACGAGGTCGTCGATGCTGACAATGAGGATAATGCTGCGCATTGTGAATCGCTCGAATTTGAGCTGCGCGAGGTAAGCCTCTGTGGGGCATCCGAGATAACTGTACTAGTCACCGAATTCGGTTTGCTAGTTGGCCGTACATCCGCACCTTCCGCAGAATTGTTTTGATTAAGCTTCCCATTATAAATGGTAGGCTTGCGTCGAATCAAAGGTTTGAAGTTGCTATTGGGTCGGTCGTGCAATTTGAGCGAATGGTTACGATGCAATAAAGGCATGGTCTGAATTACTGGAACAGATATTACTTTGTGTTTCTGGTCGGGCGAGATTGTGTCAGAATTAGTGACAAAGCTGCCGGACAGTTTCGCTAGCAGATTCGAAGTTGACGATGCAGCTCCTACACGTTTGGCTAACGACAGGTCAGCAGTACCCTCCTGAGATGAAGAGGGACGTGAGGGCATCGGTATTGCGCGGACGGTATCTGACAAATTGCGGGCCTCCTCAAGGAGTAAGGCTTTCACTTGGTCAAGGCTTGGCATATGGTTTTCAAGTTTTGGAAGTTCGATCTTTCTCAAGGAGGGTTTTTTTCGAATTAATGCTAATGCGCTGCCGCTTTTGTCGTCATCGCCGTCATTGCCCTCGGACGATGCGAGGTAGGAACCTAGCAGTGATGGACAATTCGTTCGCCTCAACGAAAGACTTCGGGTGTTACTAATCGTCGATGAGCCACTGGTACTTATTGTCGATTCCACGGATAAACTTCGAGTTGGTTTGGGTGATCGCATTAACGAGCTAACGGGGTCGTCGGATAGGATTTGCCGTGAGTCCGGAACATCGGGCGGAGATTCCTTCCCTTTCCAAGAGTACATTAAGCTTTGGCTAGAAACTGGGACTACAGGATTATCCTCAGAGCTTATATTAGCATTAACTGCCTTCCATAGGGGTATTTTTTTACCAGGTTCGGTATCGTCCCCATCATGTGTCTGCGGCTCAAACACGTTTACGGGTCGTTTAGAACTCTCACGCGTCGTCCAACGCCGCCGTAAGCATAATCTATCGGTGATATCTTCCGGCTCTGGAGTGAGCCGCAGGGGTGATGGAGGCGGACACTTTCCATTCCCGCTGACGCCATTTACCCCATTCCTGTGCTCGTGTGACTTATTTCCTTTTTTTCGGGAAGTCATTTTATCATTTCCGTTGTGAGAAGACGAGTCCCGCTTACTGTTGCCACTGCCTCCATAGAAGGACCATCGCTTCGAATTTTTTCTTTCAGTGAAAGCGCCGGCCTTCGACGAAGGTGACGACGTGGTAAAACAAACAACTCCTTGAGGACTCCCGGTCCATATCGGCGTCTCGAAACCCTGTGCCAGATGGACGCGAGCCATGCTGCGACGGCCAATTGTTGCATATACGGGCAGTTTCGGAAAGGTATGAGAGTTTAACTGCTCAGAATCTGGTTGCCCTTGAACAATATTACCTGAAAATTCAAACCGAACAGAATTAATCAAATTCTCGCCATCATTCATTTTTGGTATTGTTGGTAATTGGTACTTGGTATTGTTTGGTAATTGTTTCTACCTCTACAGGTACAACAAACATCACAACATATGCGGTGAGAAGGACCCCAATCTTGCCCTAGTCTTTTGAACTCTCATTCACGTAGGAGGGTAAATCGTGCCGGCTGTAAGCCACTGCTTTTACCCGCAGAGAACTTTTTCTTCTAGCTCGACGGTTATCTTTTCCACGCCGGAGTCGAATTCAGGAATTGAAACGAAGTTCACTTGTTTATTCACTTTAGATCTTCTTCTGTATTTCGTTCACCGTCAATTGTATCTGAACTTCTTCTTACTTTCACTTTTCCTCTAACTCTTCTAAGAACGTGTACGGCATGCGGCACAAAAAGGACAGAAGGTCCCATATATACATACGACATATATGTACAACAAGAATGGTGACTGCAGCAAAACCGTAACTAGCTGAAGAAAACTATGAAGCAACAATCATCGTGGAATACTCCTATGAGTCATTTTGCTTTTTCGAGTGAAGGCGGTAGGGACGACGTTGACCGTTTTTTCTAGCAAGTTTTGCTGAATTTTCCTTGGTTCCGTCGGCTTTCTTTGACTGCCTGTTGTCATCGACACGTGAGACCAGCGGAAGCCACACCTCATCCTCGCTATGGATCCTTTAAGAATATTCGTACTAAACTTCAGCTGGTTTGGCATGCTTGCCTGTCGCCTTGAGGCGTTGACGGTACTGCCGAAACCGTCATGGAGCTGGGGATGAAGAGGTGGCCTCGGCTCCTAGGTCGAGGATAAATCACAAACTAGCTTACTGCATTTTTCAACTAGATGCTGCTATTGTAGATGCAGTAGGCCGTATAAAAACGGCAGCTACAATGTAAACACCCTCGAATCTCACAACGGATCCCATTTAACGTCAAATAGTAAAGCTCACAAAGATAGCTAAACGTATTAGACCGTTTACTTGAAAAAAGAAAAATATTCGTCGAACAGCAGGAACATAACGACAGCGACGGAAAAAGTGTCCGATTTTCGGATTCAGATTAATATGTATATCGAACTTGTAAACAAGGGTAGCTCAACAGTGCATAGCAATATTCTAGGGCCCCCAAGGACGTTAGGACAGCTGATGGACGGTTGGATCTATAGTCAGCTTCGTAGAATCGTTTCATTACGTTGTGTTGGTACATAGTCCTGTTGCAATGGGGCCACTAATGTGGCTCACACAGTACAGCTAAACCGCCTGGTCTCCCAGGGACCCTTTTGTGGCCGCTGCACAAGACAAGCCTGAATCGATTAGTAGGCCAGGTACATGGTCACAGAGGCGCACAGAGACGCAGGGCTACGGCAATACAAAGCGGGCTAGGGCAAGTAAGGTGTGGCGCATAAGCGGCCGGAGTTATAGGTAGCCACAGCTGAGATATTCCAAGCAAAAGCGAGATAAAGAGTAACGGTAAAACTGCTTTAGATGACTACAGACGTCCACGTAATTTCTCGGAACCTGGCACCGACACTCTAGTTCCCATCGACCAACTATATAATTAACGAGAAACTCTTTTATTACCTATTGGCGACGAACAGCGTTCATCCGACCGTCGTAAGCGAGATAGATATAGCATAGCTAGTATAAGCTGCTATTTACCACTAGTTCCGGTGGTTCTAGCACAACTGCTAGAAGCCAGCTACCTCTTGAGTTTCTCTTAATTCTGCCAGCAATTCGAGTATTCTTTCCTGCCAGACATTTATTATTAATATTTTGAGTCATCTGTACCATTCGTCTTCCCACAGATGCTAGGTTCGCATCGAGACCTATCGCTAGCAGCATCGCTAGTATTCACTGTCGTAGTGAACCGCGTCCATTCAATTAGATCTGCGTAGCTAGACGGAACATAGTCAATCCAACTCAGCTCAACCAAGCTTGACCTAATGGTAGCAGGTGTTCAATGGTAATGGTAAAGTATAGACCGGTTTTCGGATAGGATTAGGGGAGAAGGACCGAACAGATGAGCGTGGCTACCTAAGCGGTGTTTCGAGAAAGAAGTGTGATGATTTTCGCTCACTAAGCGATAAGAGTTCATATTTATGGCCATCGGCCTCACAGTTAGGAAATGCAACCGACTGGCCTTACGACAGACTGATTCACTTAAGGCACTTCATTTACGCAGTTCAGAGCACCGTTCTTATTGATATAAAGTTCCCAACGCGAGGTACATAAACGCGGAGATAAACGAACCAAACCGATTTAATCCTAATCCTTGTTCAACATAAAAGGGAAAAAACTGCGCAAAGTTGTACACTGGAAACCCTCAGGGAACAACGTAATTTCAATTTTCTTCTTTTAAAATGTTTTCTATTCATACCAGAAGCTGATGCGATGATATAAATAATTACGCAGATTACATGATTTCTGAAAGTTCTTTTCGTACAAAATTACTAACAGTGCTGAAGTTACGTTAACATATTTACACATAATTGCGCAGTGTTAGACAATTCGTGTTCGAACGTATTATCAATACAGGAGCCATAAACGTGTAGGCCCTCCATTGAGGCCTCAAGCTTTCTAACGAGATTAATTTTGAAATGATCGGACCGACTGTGAATACTGGAAGCGGACAGAAAAATTTGAAAATAAGATTATTATAAAAAAGATCTGGTCACTGGGAAGAAGTAGGGAACAATTAGATCCCCTACTAAGGAAAGGTGGAAAGACCTTAGTGGTGACAGAAATCATCTCTGTTTAGAGGAGTGTGGCCTCGATAGCCGTAAACATAATATTAACATAAATAAATTATCCTTTCTTATGAAATCGGCTTTAACGAACGCATATTGTTATACTATTAACAAGCTTGGTGCATTGTAACTATATATCTATGTCTACCTGTATCTAGCATCTCGTATTAGAAGATACTACCGCGATCGAAAAGTTAGTTAATGTTGAAAAGAAGCCTATTTCGATGAACTGTGTCGTTCAAAACCCAGTTTTATTATTTAGACCTGCGTCTCTGAAATGTTACCCAAATGAGTTCCGTTGAATAGCAAGACCTATCATACTCTTACTTTGTTCGCTTTATTTCACACGCGCTGTTCAGTATGAATCATCTGCTACAGTTTAGTCGTCCAAGCCATCATTTCCAGTATATTATAGACACGCGTATACCTAATACAGACCTAATTCTTGCACTATTATACCTGTACTACTGCACGCCTAGGGCAATCGAGACCTCCGATCGAGCACAACAATACACGAGCTGTCTATGCCCACAAACATGCCGATAGATGCACATAATTACTGAGGGGTAGTAAGGTCGGAAATCCTTTGGGGACAGATGCGTTAGGTTGTCGCCTTGCAAGTTTACCACGCGCCTCATTAATGGATGCAATCAATGTTAAGTGACGCTGGCCGTAATTTCGTCTAAGCTCAGGCCTTTCAGAGGTAAAAGGAAACTAAGGATGTCTGACAGGTAGTAATCTATAATGATATGTGACACTGTTTCACTGCACGACTGAAAGGTGAGCAAAGTATCGAATTCTATGTAGAGACTTACTTTAAATTCGTATTATATAGGAATATAGGTAAAGTGTTTGTTCATTCATAACATTATAGGATTCTGTTCTCATCTGACAACTCAAAATTCTATAATCTTGGTATATGGACACACTTTTCCTTACCCGTAGTCTGCTAAGGAAAAAAGGTAAACTTTTGCTAACAGACAGCGGGGCATCCAACAAACGAGCAAACCTAAACATAATATGAAAGATGGCCGTCTTCTATTCCTTGTAGTTTCTCATAGATTTAAAGTACTCAAGATGAAGATCACCCCACAGCTGGTAGTAGTGAGCGGTGTGCTATATATTTGGCTAAGGCTTCGTCTGGTAGTGTTCGGCCAAATGCTTACGAAATCTCGGTTCTGTGTGATCACTCACCGCCTTTTATATCCATTGCCACGGAGTTACGAAACGCTATTACTAAACAATGACAGCACAGACTACATTCCGCCAACTGTATGTAGAAGATCCAACGTTATGGCACAACCACGTCACGCTGACGTTTTTTGGGGTAGTCACTTGATTAATTTGGCGAATCACACGAGTATCTAGGTTCGAATCGATCTTTCGATTATTCTGTCTTATTTTTTCGTTCGTGATTTCTGGTCTATTCTAAATCCAGTGGAAAAGCTTTTCCAGAATCCATCACCCACACAAGATACGTCCGTCTGTGCATTTGTGCGTCGTTGATTGAGAGAAACCTTTTCCAGCAGTCAAGAACGAACAAATCCTTGTCGGTCGTGAACTAACTTTCAAAAAGCCGACCGGACAAATGCCACGAGATAGGCAATATGCTAGTTTATCCTGGGACTAGTTGGCACCTGCGAAAGCGTTACGTTAATAGCTACATCACGATTTTACAACTCCGTAACGATCAGTGGCTTTTTTTTGCATAGTATTACATACAGTATCAGATCTCAAACTATAAAAAGCGCAGAATGCTCGCTCTCCACATACATAGCAACGATCCACGTAACTGTTCCAATGCGGCGAATTTAGACTGAATCAATGGATATTTCCGTAAGAATACGCAAGTATAAGCACTCCTTTTAATTAACAAAGCTCTTTTCCCAGGTATTCACTAATTGTGAAGTCTTCTGTTAATTATATCTATAATCGACCGCCATTCATGCTGGCATCTACTACGCGCTGCTGGTAGCTTCTGAGATTTGAATGACAACGGCGTATCTTCGTAAATCAGCTTCGAATTTACATTACAACACCGCTTTCCAGACGTCTACGACACTTAGTACCGCAATCTTCGCTGCCGCTTCCGCTGATGATACCTTTGCGTCGACTGCTCATTTGCCCGCTGGCATTTGCATGCGTCCGATTTTTTTCAGCCCGCTTTTTGCGGTCGGCGATTAGCGGATACACATCTTGTATGCGACAATGACAAGCGTAAAGCGCGTTGGCGAATACTCAGTAGGGCTTTTGGACAGTAACGACCAAACTCATTACCACTCAGCTTGGCGACGAAAGCTGTCGTAAAAAACCTAGCTTATGTCGCTTGGGGACTCCTGGGCAAACGTCGCGGCAACAATAGTCGTAGCTATACTGGTGGCCACTGCCCGCTAAGACTCTTCCCAGCGACAAGCGTTGGGGCTGTGGGCAATACTTGCTGGTCAAGAACGAGACAAACAGCTACTCTCGTCGAGTTGGGAGAGTCGGTACGAGAATTGGTAGCGGCAAACGATGAGCTAGTGCTCTCACGGCCGCCGCTAATACGACTGTTAGCGATAATAGTACGACCACTTTACTGCTAATGCCATAATTTACGATAACGTGGAAATATTGTCACGTACAGCATGGGCTACATAAAAACTGCGCCACTACTCGTTGTTGTCAGCATGACCATAACCTTCATGCGCATAAAGCTCATTGGTAAGCTTGCCAGATTGTTATCAATGTAGTAATAACAGCTTCAACAATCATACCGACGTGTTTTAGTCGACGAAAAAACCTTTTCTAAGCAAAACTAATGGAGATTTCCCACGCAAAGTTCCATCAAATTTAACCGCCGTTGTCTTAATGGCAACTGATGCGGGACTAAATGATCAAATTCAAGGGTCAACGGTTGGCGTTTTCCGCCGCGTTTGTCAATATCTAAGTTTGTGTTGCCCGATACTCCCAATGCAAGAGCCTCATATGGTGATCACTGTTGAAACGTTCTATAGCTATGACGCTAAGACCTCATTGTCGTCGTTATTTTTTACGACACATGGATACAACATTCTATATACATGAATATGTTTTCTCAAATTGTTTCCCGATTTATGGCCGACTGTGACCTCGCTCTGTTACGCGTTGCTCGATCTTCACGTTTGTCATCAGTGCGTGTGCCACGCTAGCCGATCTAGTGTTTCGTTTGAGGGAAACGTAAGCTTTATTTGATAGGTCACCGCGCAATTAATATAGCTTCCTCGAATTCTTAAGGAAGCAGACACAATTATTACTGTTGTTGGTTCAGAAGCGTCGAAGCGACACTGTTCACGGTCAGTGAACGAAGCCGCTCTTGGTCGAAAGTGGCACGGAACGAGCAAGCACGGTTATCGATGGGCCGGCTGCACACATCCTCAATCATGACAAAAGCTACAATAATAATAGAAAAAAATGCGGTAAGATTTATGAGTGAAGACAGAATCCGTCAAGAGGTTGGCGGTGGTGTATTCAAGCCCTGTCTTCGAAGAAGACGGCGCAACTAAGCCAAAAAGCAGCCTTTTTTTTAAAGTGCTTGAATGAGCTTAGCCATTTTAATTTGCTGCTGTGGCGTGAGGTGGCGCTACCTGCCGGTTAGTTTGTTTACCTCGTAACGATTGCATCACTTCAAAATCGAGCCAATTCAAGAGCTCTGACAAGGTGAAGATCGATTCGAAGCCGAGGATGAATCAATTAGAAAAAGATCTTGCTAGCAAGAGAGCCTACAAATGATGGGAAACGTATCCATCCAGAGATGCGGTAATGCGAACATGGGCGTTCCACGAGCGCAACCTTATCGCTTCATCAGTTTATCAGTCATTTAATATTTGCTAAATAGTTCGGTGAATATCCAGTAGCCTATAGGGACACCGTAACTCCATATCCTTGAGGATATCCTTTTTTTTTTCGAACATCAACTCTCACCGATCCGCCGGCTTGATTCATGTAGCATAACAAGCAGCACTACAACGACCTTAGCACATAATACGAAGAAGTAAGCGGTGTCCGATCGTAATCTAGACAACTGTCTATATAACATCGGCCATTTGAAAGGAAAGAGCTAAGAAACAAATGGAAAAGTCTCATGTTAACTGTTACCGTATTATTTTACAGATATATAGCTTAATTTTGCATTCGTGTGTTCGATCCTAGAATTCATTTAACCATCGTCCCCCTGCAACGTAACTGAATCTCAAGGGCCGCCAGTTTATTTATTCATAAACAAAAAAGGAGTAGGTAGTATATATTACGAGAGATAATTTGTAGTGGCTCCCTGCGCAAACAACGACAGCACAGCAGTATTAGTCAGGATATTGTGGCGCGTTCAAATGAAAAGTCGCCGAAGTTCCTGCTCCTGGTCATAGGCTAAGTTATACATCGATATTGTAAACAAAGATAGTAGTGTCTGCACTGTGCACTACCACTTGGTCTGGTTAGCGCTATTTTATGGTGCTAAGTTTAAAAGGTCTGTACGAATCCTAGCAAAACACTTCATTACCGTAAAAAACTTCACGGTTTAAGCATCGTACAATGCGGCTTATTTGTGAGGCCTCGTAAATCATAAACAGCACCCAAGATCTTGAAGCTGACGACTTTTCGAGTAGGTCTCCCCTTAGCGGCACGCAGCCATATACACAGCGGACGGTACCGACGCGTCAGCCTGTCAGCACGCATGAGTGAATTGCGCGACATTGCAGCCATATGATCATTACTATTTTTGTTTTTTTCCCTTGTCAATTATTGGATGGAATAACTAAAATAAATATCTGTTTCATTAGATTCTCAAGGCATTCTGAGTTTACGTTACACCACAAACGATGTGTCCAGACGTTCGATATAGGCATACTCGTTAGCTGCTCCTTCCTGCTAATAGAGAGAGATACATGACGGCACGGTGTATATATATGGTACATGAATTGCCTATTCTATTTCTTCATTTAAGCTTAGCTAGTCGTCCTATGTTAACAACAAGATGATTATCTTGAATTCGATGCCCGCCATCCTTTAAAAATAACGCGTGCTCATAAATTCGTATTGTTCTACCCGTGCATTCGCAGCGCTGGGCGGAAGGCCCGAATCTAGTCCTAATTTTTATATCACTGACCCGACGCTCTGTTTTGTTGCAGTTTTGCCCTTGCTGTTTTATGTGCTCTGGGAAATAGCTAACTGTTGGTTAAAAAGCAAATCTATATGTAAGCACCTAACAAAAAAATCGTATCAAACATATATGCTGATCACACCTCGGTTATCGCTGCGAGTACGATTTCATAGCTGGGCTTGTTTAGAGCCCCTTTCCTTTAGCAGGCCATGCTCGAACCGGACACAGAAATTATCATCTACTATTACACGAGGCTATTTCGAGTGAATAGTTTGAAGAACTTTCAATCGGTGCAGTTTCAAGTTCATGGTACAGATATGAATAATCCCCTCACCAAGTTATCGAATTGCCATTGACATTGGATGTTCTCTGGCGTAGCAAGGCGTGCCATCGATAATCTTCTATAGTTTAGTAATAATGACGAATGATTTACAGGACTGTCTGGCCTGGATTTTGTGTATTACTATTACTATATTATTACTACTATATTATTATTATTATTTGTGAATGAAAACGCTTGATTTGCAACCTGACCGTTTCGACCAGTCACAGTGGCCTGTGGCAACCTGTCGCTATGTCTGACACACTCGTAATATCTGATTGCAAGGCACTTTTCCGCCGTCCTTCTAATCCTGCGGCGCAAGGCCGTCGTTGTTAGGTCACATAGCTAGTATAGTCAGTCAGTTGTCGGTAGCAACCGTAGACACAATGTAAATTGTGAGTGATTTATTCATTCTTGCTAACTCTTATGTCAATATTAAGGAAAATGCTCAATCTCGACTTACAGCAGACAAATAACAAACAATTATAATTGATCAATTGCTATTCATTATACGTGCTTGATTTTTTCCATATTTCCTATACACTTTAGGACATATCACTGTCAAGTTTGAAAGGTTGACAAAACGAATATTATACCGTGATATATATAGGTAGTAGTATTCTATAGGATATTGTACCGTGATTGTTGTAGGTGATGTAGCTTTCGGCCACAGCGCATCCTCTGCGAGAATCGCTCGATATGGCTAGCTGTTTATCAGCGACGGCTTTTTCCTGCCTATCTTAATAGGTTGCTAATCTTGTTTGATGCGCTGTCTAGCCAAGCAGGCCATGGCAACCGACCTGTGAAGTGCCAGGACAGTTTTGATATTGCGTCAACGAACATCGGCGAATAGCGGCAGAATCGTTTTTTTCTATAGGATGTAGGTGACATACGTTCCTGGCCGATCTCGGGACGCGTGGATACTCGTAGAAACACGATTTCTTTCTTCGCGCACATCGAACTCCCTATGTATCCCTATAGTACTAGAATTGCTCGTGTTCATCTAGTATTTCTATATATTGCAGTTTTAGTCAATGAGCGCGTTTCTACGATGCTGTCTAGCTATAATGCGTCTTCCTTATGTCGAAAACACGCAATTAATGCATTTGTGAGTGTCCCACGTCTTTTGTGAAACAGATCAATGTATGCTTAACCCAGAGGCCAGTTTCTGGTATACAGACCCGTTTTTGTCTTGTTTGATCAAAAGAGCTTTGCAGTGGGCCAATAGCTGTGCACTTAATGCGATTGCCTATTCCGCGCAACTTTTTCTTTAAGACACGATCATACTGTAGATACTGAACTGAATCTTGTTGGAAAGCTATACTTGTTTTGGCAGAGGAATAGAGATGATATAATCAAGTGCCCTTCGCACGCCAACGTTACCCACCAAAAAAAAAAAAAAGAAAAAAAAAAACGTTTTGAAAACGGTCCAAGACTGAACGTAATCGCTCTATGAAGGAAGCTCAATTTCCTCACGCGAATTCCAAGTTTGAAACGAGCAGAAGCTTAGTACGGCAATGAAGATCGTTGTATACGTAGTTCGGTTCCTCTTAGATCCCGTTTCTACCACTGCCATTCGCACCACAAGACTGCGCAATTATTATTTCGTTCCCCAGCATCGGCTCACACTTTCATTACTTTACGTATTTCGACCAAATACAAAATGACGTGAACAGAACGCTGCCAGTAAAACGTCTCCAAGTGCCTATATAATACGAATCGAGCCGATATATTTCGGTAACAGTTGATGTAGCTTCACTCGCGTTGGCAAAAATTCTATTAGTATAGGTGGCACATCGCGGCGGCAGCCGTCTGGCCACGGAAGTCCATTATACTTTAGGTAAATAGATCCACTGAAGGGACACGTTCTTCGCGCACAAATTCTCTGCCGACGGAGCTGTCGTGCCGGTCGTCCATTGTTTTCGA